TTTTTTAGTAAATTTAAAACATAAATTAAAATAATTTAAAAATTTTTTTTTTCCAAAAATATAATTAGATATTGAAATAATTGGTGTTAAAAACTTCTTTTAGCAAATTTAGAAATAATTTTTTTTTCAAAAACCAAAACAAAGAAAAGTCAATGTACATAAGTCTATATACTTACTGCATATATTTCTGCTTTGCCGCATGGTAAATACTATCAATATTTCGCTGCTGCTGCTGTTGTTGTTGTTGTAAAGCCTTAAAATAACCATGTTGCAGCTCATCAGCGGCATATAACGGCCTTTCATAGTCTGTGCTTCTATAATTTTGTGAAAACCGTCCCATGCCATTGAAACTTGTTGGTTGATGTTTTTGTTGTTGTTGCACTTTAGGCAATCTGATTGACTCTTCACGCTGTGCATAAGGTGTGTTTGACACAGACGGTGACTTGTATTGATAAGCGTGGTCCAGCGTTTTCAAACGCTGTCGCTCTGGTGTGGCGCTGTAAGCATTTTGGCAGAGCAAGACGAGAGACATGTGTAACACGAGTAGCATAATGTGAGAGTGAGCGGTTGCAGGAGCCTATAAAATTAGAATGAGTTCTCAAAAAGTGTTAAGAATTAAAGAGAAAAATAACACGTCGCTAAAAGCAGGGAGAGTGTATATGAACGCAGTTTTTATAGCCGATCTGAGGCCATGTTGCAAGCGACATTGACTCGAAATGTTAACGAAAATCAATGTCGGTCTTGTTTTGAAAACCTACGAGAGTAATTTTATTCCTAGAAAGATGACTTTTTCGAAAGTTCTAATTTTCTTGGATGAGCTTGGTTCAAAGTCTTTGAAAATCTTTAAGAAGAATTTTATTAAGATCAATGACGATTACTCTTTGAAAACCTCGGAGAGCATTTTTATTCCAAGCGACTAGTCTATTTCGAAAGATTTTTACTTTCATAGTTAAGCTTGGTTCTAAACTGAAATTTGAAAAAAAAGCGTTCCGAAAATTGCAGACATACTAATACCAAACTTAGTTGGAAGCTTAGAAAAGTTTAATTTTTCTTCTTTCTTCTTTAACGTTCATATTTGCAAACTAGTGCTACTGCTCTTTCATTTTATGGGGAATGCAGTTGGTTCCGTCCGCACGTGGCGCTGCCTTAATTTTAATAAAGCTTCACTTGCTACAATTGTTGAAGGGTCATCAGCAATTGTTTTTACGGCATTCAACAAAGTGTGCACAAGTGCTTAATTATGTGTGGTGAAAGGTAACAAAAAAATAAATAAAATGTAAATTAGGTTGTGGAGAGTGAACAACAAAAACACAATTACATAAAAACACTTAATCCAACTTTTGGCAATGTCATACTTTTTTACATACTTATGCATGACAAATGAAAGTTAAAGCAGCGAAATTAAAAAAAGTATACAGTTATAAAAATTACTTGAAAAAACAAAATAAAAAATTAAAA